GCAGGGAGCCCGATGCGGGGCTCGATCCCAGGACCCTAGGATCATGACCTGAGCTGAAGGCAGACGCTTAATGACTGAGCCACCCAGGTGCCCCTATTGAATGGATTCTTGATGTAAAACCCAGGTTTCAGATCTCTTCTCATTGTCACAGTAATTTAATGTCAATCTTAATTTTTAAATTTTTTTCTGATTATAAAAATTGTATCATCATTAGAGAGAATTTGAAAAATATATTTAGAGGTAGGAATTCAATTCAGTATTAGACTTGTATCTTCTTATAGTGCATTATTTCAATAAAACATACAGACTTTATAAGCTATAGGAAAATAATATCCATGTCTTAATAATTGAAGGAATAATATTAAAGGTACTATACTGTGAATAAGCAAGAAATGGCTATTGTGAGAAATAGAGTAAAGAATCTTGCAGGGCGCCTGGGTGGCTCAGTCAGTTAAGCATCTGCCTTCTGCTCAGGTCATGATCCCAGAGTCCTGGGATTGAGTACCACATCAGGCTCCTTGCTCATCAGGGAGCCTGCTTCTCCCTCTGCTGCTTCCCCTGCTTGTGCTCTTTCTCTCACTGTGTCTTTCTGACAAATAAATAAATAAAATCTTTAAAAAAAAAATCTAATATTTTTCTAACAAAGCTAATTTTTTTAAATTGTGGTTAAAAAACATGTAGCATAAATTTATCATCTTAACCAGTTTTAATAATTGTACCACTCAATAGTGTTAAATATATTCACATTGTTGTTAAACTGGTATTTACTTTTATTTTCTCATATCATCTCCACTTTTCCTATAAATTTACTAGAGCGTAGCTCTCAAACCAAAATTTTAGCTTTCATTTTGATTATTATTGTTTTGGGATATGATTAAAATTCAGCATATGATGAGATAGCATGTCTTTAAAATCCACACTAGTTTGAACATCGCAAGATTTAATCTGTTTCCTCATATGTAAAGTGAGAATGATAAATAGTACCTATCTCACAGGTTCTGCCATTGAAACTATTAAATGCAATAATCCTTAAGGTACTCATCATTGAAAGTGGTGCAGAGAAGTACTTAAAAATTATTAGCTATTATTTATAGAGTGTAGTGTAGGTTTGACCTACTTAAGAAAACTCCCAGGAGTGCCTGGTTGGCGTGGTTGGTTAAGAGTTCAATCCTTGGTTTCGGCTCAGGTCCTATCTCGGGGTCTTGAGATCAAGCCCCGAGTGGGCCTCCTCTCTTAGCTCAGAGTTTGCTAGACTCTCTCCCTCGGACACCTGGGTGGCTCAGTTGGTTAAGCGACTGCCTTTGGCTCAGGTCATGATCCTGGAGTCCCGGGATCGAGTCCCATGTTGGGCTCCCTGCTCAGCGGGGAGTCTGCTTCTCCCTCTGACCCTCTTCCCTCTTGTGCTCTCTGTCTCTCATTCTCTCTCTCTCAAATAAATAAAATCTTTAAAAAAAAAAAAAGACTCTCTCTCCCTCTCCCTCTGCCCCCCCACTTGTGCACTCACATGTGCATGCACGTGTGTACTCTCAAATAAATAAATCTTTAAAGAAAACTCCCAGTACTTGACAGTCTGAACTTTTTATAAATTGGATACAATATTGGGTAATTATTATTATAAAAAATTAATACTTCTTTGCATTTAGGGTTAGAGTACATTTTTTTCTTCAAAGTCAACTGAATTTAGTGAAAAGTAATAATTGCTTTGTAAGAAAGAAGTATATTTGACTCTCAGTTTTTTTTTTTTTAAAGATTTTATTTATTTATTAGAGAATGAGAGATAGCATGAGAGGGAAGAGGGTCAGAGGGAGAAGCAGACTCCCTGCTGAGCAGGGAGCCCAATGTGGGACTCGATCCCGGGACTCCAGGATCATGACCTGAGCCGAAGGCAGTCGCTTAACCAACTGAGCCACCCAGGCACCCTTGACTCTCAGTTTTTTAACAAGGGACAAAAAACATAGAATTTTATTATATAAATATACTAATTTTTTAAGTCGTTATTTTTTTTAAGGACTATTAAGAAACATGGGCTGAGCTTAAAAATGTGAAAGACCAAGGTTCTTAAATGTATTTGATTAAGAATGCTGAACAGCAGGCGCTTGGGTGGCTCAGTCAGTTAAGCTCTGCCTTCAGCTCAGGTCATGATCTCAGGGTCCTGGGATCGAGTCCCACATCGGGCTCCCTGCTCAGCGGGGAGCCTGCTTCTCCCTCTGCCCCTTACCCCTGCTCGCTTGCTCTCTCTTGCTCTCTCTCAAATAAGTAAATAAAATCTTAAAAAGAATGTTGAACAGCTTTGGGACTGTTCAGAACTTTTCTGGACACATAGTATCCCTCTAAGGGGAAAACTGTGTATTTTTTCAAACAGACTCCCCTTACAGCATACAGAATGGCTTTGGGTCAAATAGGGCTAATAATAACTTTCCAGCATATATCTCCTATATACGCATAGGATTAGAATTAGGGACCAAGGGATGTATGTTGTAAAATCAAATAAGTTATTTGTTATTAACATTATAAAAAATGACCTAAATGAAATCAGATTGCAGTCTAAAGGTAATTAGACTTAGATAATACATAGATAATTTTCCAATTCACTTAATTATTTAATTTGTAAAAATGTATTTTACATCCAATTTTTAAGGGAATCAATCCATTTCATACAGTGAAACACATCTATAAGATTTCAATGTCATCTTTCTTTAGGAGGCAAGTAGGAAAAAAACAAACTATAGTTATATTGAGTTTACAGACTATTGTAAATATAATAGAAGATATTTATTTTATGTAGCCATTGTCTAAGGAGCATAAAGAGAAATCCTTTATTTTACAACTCTGCCACCACATCCTGCTCCTTCTATTCCTTCACTTAACCTGTTACTGCATATTAATACCAATCACTAGGAATTTCATTCTCTGAACAATGGGTATTGTCTGTCAGGTTCTCATCTCTTTGAGAAACTCCAAACTTCTTTGAAAGAGGAGTGATGTCTCCACTTCAACTACAGTTCACTCCTGACTTCCCCTCCAGTCACTCGACTAAAACTCCTCTCAGTCAGGTCATCACTGACCTTCTATTTGTTATTTGTTAACCTCTTTTCAGTCTTTATTCACCTTGATTTCTCTTTAGGATTTGACTTTATCCAGTTGCTTTACTTTTTCTTGAAATTCCTCCATTAGCTTCTGGAACACCTTTTTCCTCATGGTCCTCTTCTCCAGCTGCTCTGTTTCCATTTGATGGTTCTATATCTGGCCTTTGAAATATTGATAATCCCCTCGGTTCACAGCTCTCTGTCTTGCCTTACATCACATCTTCCTAGATGATCTCATCTACCCTCTTGATTTTAATTACCATACATGCTATTGACTAGCAAACCTATAACTCCAGCCCAGACTTTTCTCTTTCATTTATTCACCCATTCATTCAGCCAATTAAAAAATTATTTATTTGTTTGCTTATTTTTACCTCAGGATGCATCTTTAAAACAATAACATAGGCTAAATAACACCCCACTTGAAGTTAATAATATTTCTTTCATATTAACTAATACCCAGTCCGTATTCATATTTCCCCAGTCTTTTCCAAACTGTTCTTTAATGAACCTTGATCTGATCCAGTACCGCTCATTGCATCTGGTTATTCCCATGAAGTCTCTTATTCCAGAACAGTTTCTTTTTCATGATTTTGTTGATGGGCAAGTTGTCCAGAAAATATTCCACCTTCTGTATTAGGTTTTTTCCTTATGCTGTCACTTAGCTGAATTTAGCTATGTTTTCTGGAAACTGGAAGTTAGCTCAACAAGCTTCCGCTTGATGGAGACAAGTTAAATATTTTTGGCTAGAGTTCATCCTAGGTAATGTGTATACTGTATTGCATTACATTAGGAGACACAGCATATCTGGTGGTCCCACCATTAGTGATGCAAAGATTAACTCGGATTAGGATGATAACAGTCTGTTTCCACCACTGTTCAGTTAGGTTATAGTCCTCACATCAGCCAGGATT